TCATGCAAATGTTATGTTACCGTAAAATAAATATAGAAGCAATGGTCGGACATAAACGTCTTTCCACCCATCAGTTAAATTTATTTTTGTTGGGAATCAGGATTTTATAGGCAACAAATCATAAATCTCTCCTTACGATATTCAATTCTTCTTGCGATTTCAAACGCGCGCTCTCGCGATGGCGTGCCGCGTGCCAGAATCTCTCGATGGCGCTCGTCCAGACTGTGGCGGAGTTTATAATTATGACGTTACATTATGAGGTTTTATTTTTTTTTTGCTAAACGACCTGAACAATCACGTCAACGCCTCTGCTTTCTTTCTTTCTGCCAGACAAGGCTGTAGATAACAACCTTTCTCCTGCTTAGAAAAGGAACACAAAAGTTGACATCCTCTGTCCGCGAAATTTGCGACCTCAGAAGAAGGCAACAAAATCGAGAAGTAAGGGCAAGTGAAGGTCTCACCTACAGGGTACAGCACCGTTGTGTGAAATACATGGGAAGGGGGTCGTACGTGGGTTTGAGAGAAATTCGCCGCGTTGGGGAAGATCGTTGCTGAAACAAAGGAAAGCCTCCAGCAACGATAGTCGCTAGTCTACAAGGCATTAGCTCTTCAAAATATCTCAATTGTGCTCGTCAGTGCAGGGGGTATGCATATGTTGAAATCCCTCAAAGCGAGAGAACGAAGGGCTGCCTCTGGTTAAGACGGACAGACGATGTTCCTGTCGAGAAAATGTTTGATTACTACAGGGGGGGGGGCAAAAAAAAGACACTTCGACCGAGTCACATATCAGCAAAGTTTTCGCAGCCCAGACAGAGGAAGTGGATACGAGTACCAGGGCGGAAGATACCCAAGATCTTCCTCTATAAGCAGGAGCCGGCTGCCGCCATTCACCTTCATGTACACCAAAATATGAAGTCATCTCCAGTCGCGGCCTGAGTGGAGAACGCCTTTGGAATTCACGTGGCCTCCAAACAGCTGCGGAACTTCTTGAATGGAATCACCCATGGATAGCTACCTGGAGACCAGTACTCTTGATCTGCAAGACC